AAAACTATGAAGCAACAGAAATATGAGGTCCAAAAATGTCCATATAAGTGCTTTTTTATTGTTTTGTATACTTCTTTCTGTTTTTTTGGGGGGGGGGTTAAATACCAAATATCTCTATTGATTATAAATTGGGACTTTTTCCTGAGTAATTCTGGTCCCAAAGGCTATATTATTCTTCTTTAATAAAGTGCCTGTATAGAAGTTGTAAAATATTGATGATGAATCCACAAGTGGAACTGAGTAGAAAGAAAATCAATATGAAGAACCAGATGAATGGTTTTAAAATGCCCAGACCTAGTATAACCATAGAGAATTCAAATTATCATCCACTCTTTCCTAAAGCATATTTAATATGTTTATATTTTGTCAGTAAACTAAATATTATTTTTAATGTTACTTTTATAATTATTTTTGCTAATATATGCATATAATAGATATTATAGAATGGAAGATCATTTGAAATATATTCTATCATAGTCACGGGCACTTTGAGCTGTAGCCATGACTTCTACAGGTGGGAAATTTATCAGACCTGAAGTCAAAATCAATACAATCACCAGAAAAAGTGACTGAAGTCACTGGATCTTACATTAGTCATGTCTGTATCACTTGGTAGCAACAGTAATATAATCTCTTCTACTAATTTTTAGATAATGCCTTTGAGAATATAACTAGCTACAAAGTTGTAAAAAGTTAAGAATTTCAAGTATGTTCACAATGATTGGTATTTAAATATTATCTCACTTAAAATTTTTCTGTTTCATGTGATGCCCCCCCCCACAAAAAAGAAAATTAGTCATAATAAGGTCTTGGTTAGCTCAAAATTAAAATAAACCTACAATAGTTCTACTTACCACACATATATGGTGTATTTCCCCTTTCTTTTATCTTTTTTTACAGAAATTGAATGGAAGGGCCTTGGAAGTTTAAAAGTTATGATTTCTTATAGGGCATGGGTTTTTAACATTGAAAGATTCACTTATTTCTTTGAAAGGTCATGGTATCTTATGAGAAGAAAATTAGGTCTTTCTGGTGTTGGAGAGCGATTTTTGTGTGATCAGCCGATTGAAAACATTAGACGGTATTTCAAGAATATCCTCGTACCCAATGATTTGAGTTACAAGAGGAAAATATGCTCAATTCTGTTGCTATGAAAACAGAAACATAGGATAGACTATTTTCTTAAGATTTAAAAGAAACAGTAGTTCCTGTCTAGGATTTACAATTGTTAATTGCCCCTAATTCTTCTACAGATTGAAGGCAGAAGAAATGATGGATGAAGTTAGAACCAACAAATTTGTTCTTCATGGGTTAAATATTTTCCAACTTTTAATAGCACGTAACAATTTTATCATCATTGGTTCTAACCCAAAACTCTTCATTCAAAGTTTACACATTGATAAATTCTCCCATCTTTAGGCATTGTTCCAGTTAAAATAAAAAATCATTTCAAGTGAATAATTCAAAGACTTTTGTATGAATAACACTAATTCAAATCCATTTATGTAATCTTTCATTTTGTTTTAATCCACCAGTCATTGAAGAACATCACTTTGAACTGTATTAAGTCCTTTGCTATACTCCCAGTTAATTACATTAATCAGTTTAAACCATTTATATAAACAAAGAGATGGAGCTCTAACCTACACTGCATTTCTTTACGAACAAACTTTTTTAGTGACTTAGTTTGTCTGGAAGCAAGATGATATTTCTGGGTACATGGAACATCAGCAACAGCATCATCTGGGATCTTGTTAGCAATGTAAATTCTGTATCCCCAATTCATACTCAGTGAATAGTAAATTCTCAGTATGGTCAGGCAGAGTTTTTAAAGCCCTCTAGTTCATTCGGAATCTCAAGAAAGTTTGAGGTCTGTTGAGTTAGAGTGATGCTTCCTTATGTTTGGACAGCATTAGTTTACTAGTCTGAGGCCCTTTCATATAAACTGAGTAGATTACTGGACAGGTGCTGGGGTGGGGAGATACTACACTTCTCAAAGTTCTAAGACACAGAGAAAGACCCCAAAAGGCAAATACTGGATGTGGTAATGGAAGAAAATAAGAGACAAGGCTATTTCAGAATATACTATGATAACATGCATGTGAAATTTAAAAACTTGCCAAACAACAATCATAATTAACTATGGATATACATGTAACATATGCAGTAAAGTGAATGTGTGTATTACATACATATGTATAGTGTAGAAAATCTTGAGACTAATACCTATTTAGGATAATGACTATGATATTTGGAGGGAAAGGGGGGTTGTTTAATTGGGTAGAGTTACATGATATGCTTCAATTATTTGTATTATATTTCTTAAGTTAGGTCACAGGTACATGGATGTAAACATTCACTATACATTTGTGTATGTCAGAATATTTCCTGATGAGAAAAAGAAAAAAATAATAAATGAAAAGGGTAAATGAAAACAGACTCAATAACTGGAATTTGCTTAAGGAAAAAAAAATTGTGATTGAATCTGACCAGAGTATATGGTTGGAAAGGGAAAGTACAAGACTTTGAGGGTAGAAAGCTGTGTTCTACATTAACTGAAGGTTTCCTAGGTGCTCATTTGCCATAGTACCTCCTGTTGTATCCTATGGTAGCATATTTCATCTTCCAAGACTAAGTGGCATTATTTGTGTGTGTGCCTGTGTCATCATCCTCCAGTGAGTGAATTTCTAAATTGTTAGCACCTTAGAAAGTTTTGCGCATCTATTTGTCCTAAAGCACTCAGAACTATGTTTTTCATTTAGTAGATGCTTGGTAAATATTTGTTACAAGAAAGTTTACTTTATGCATATACAATTCCATTTCAGCCACTAGTCTTGGCATTTGAAAATATATTATCAGAGGTGAGACAACAACCTCCAAAATACCGAAAGGAAGAATTGGTTATGGTGTCATATAACACAATAAAATAACTGTAGCCTACATTTATTATGCATTTCAAAAGAGCAGGCAGAGAAAAGTTTGAAGGTTCTAGATATATTATCCAAGCCCAAGTAGTCAGTCCTAAAAACATGTACATAATAACAATGGTAATGATCTCAGTAGGCTCTCTCTCTCTCTCTCTCTCTCTCTCTCTCTCTCTCTCTCTCTATGTGTGTGTGTGTGTGTGTGTGTGTGTGTGTGTGTGTGTGTGTGTGTAGAACGGTAATAACATTACAAGAAAGATAATGAACTTGAGAAGGACTCAGAAGGATACTGGAAGAATTGGAGGGACAAAAGGAGGAGTAGAAATGATCTAACTAAAGTACTCTTGGCCAGGCATGGTGGCACACACCTTTAATCCCAGGACTCAGGGGGCAGAGGCAGGTGGATCTACATAGTGAATTCCAGGCCAGCTGGGACTACAGGGAGACCCTGTCTCAAAAAGACCAAAAAATGAAATAAAATAAAAATACTCATATATGTAATTCTCAAAAAACTAAATTTAACCTTAAAAAATAGAAATTCAAATGTTTGAAAAGATGTAAATTTCTTTAATTTGATTATGACAGATTATATATACATACGTATGCTAAACTATCATACTATAACACAGAGACACACTATAAGCCTTTTGTGACTATTTATACTGAATGAAGGGTTCAAATAGGAATTTATCTATATACTACCATTTGAACAGGTTTATATTGGTATGAGGCTTACATTGGTTTTAATTGTTTGGTCTTTGAATTTATGCTAATATAATTTAAGACTAACTTGTGAATCTTCTATGAATGGTATTGGGTTCTTTCCACTATGAAAAGTTTACTTACAAATCACTGTGCCTCTGATGAGATTGCTTAGGGACAAATAATCCTTCATTTTAGACAATTGGGTTTTTATTTTTTGTTTGATTTTTACTATTTATTATTTTATTTTATGTGTATGCTTGTGTTGCCTGTGTGTAGGTAAGTGCACCCATGTTGTGAAATGCCCACGGAGGACAGAAGAGGTTGTCAGATCCCCTGGAACTGGAGTTACTGACAGTTGCTAGCTGCCATGTGGGTACTGGGATTCAAACCCGGGTCTTCTGCAAGAACGACCAGTGTCCTTAACTGCTGAGCCATCTCTCCAGCTCCAAGATTGTTTTTTCCCCTTGGTAATTTCACACATGTACACAGTGTCTTTAAATCATATCTACACCTCACTCTTCCCATGTTCTTCCTTCCATGTCCCACCAACATTACCCTCCTAACTTCGTGTCCTCTTTTTTTACATAACCTATTGAGTCCAATTACTGCTGCCTGCATGCACATGAGTGTAAAACCATCTACTGGAGCTTGAGCAACCTATCGTGAACCACATCACTAAACAAAATGGACGGTCCGTCCCTTAGATAATATCAACTCCCAGTAGCTCCTCAGCTAGGAGTGGAGATCTCATGAGCACTTCGTCATTCATGCTGGAATTTTGACTGACATGATCTTGTGCAGGCAACCACAGCTGCTATGAATTCATGACTGCAGCACCTGTCATGTTCAGAAGACTAGTGAGTATCAGTCCTCCCTGACCACTCTCTCATAGTCTTTCTGCTCCCACCTCTGTGATATAGTTGTCTCATTTAGGGCAGAGCACTCCACAGTCACATATTCTCTGTACTTTGATCAGTTGTGAGTGTCTATAGTAAACACTGTCCACTGTAAAAAGAAGTTTCTCTGATCAAGTGTGAAAGCTGCAATATATATGAGTGTAAGGATAACTATTTAGAAAACAGTTTGATTCTATATCAGTCTAACAAAATAATAGTAATAGTTTCTCCCTTAGGGCTTATAACCCCCACAGACATGGGTTCTTGACCAAGTTTACAGTATTAGGTATATGTTATCTCCTGTGATGTAGGTCTTAAATCCAATTAGAAAGCTGTTTATTGCCCCTATAACAGTCATGCCACTATTGTACCAATGGACATTAACCAGACTTGTTATTACTGTAGCTCACTGGGTTCACAGTTATGTAAAATTGTTGACTTATCTCCTCCAGCAGGCTTCATAGAACATTCTGACGCTATGAAACCTAAGCAACATGGAAAACATTTCTTGGTGATTACTAGATTGATTTCTCCTGCAACCAAAGTCTGTGGTGACTTCAGCTGTAAGATGTTTAATGAAGCTCTTGATAGTGACCAAGAGCAATGGCAATAACCTATATTGTTTGCAAGGTTTCTGGGACACTAACTGCAACTTACAGGTCTTATCCTACACCAGGGACTGGGCTTTGGTTTGATGCCCTGTAGCTTCTGGAAGGAGCATTATCCTCCAGTGTAAGGAAACTCCAATTACACTGTTTTTTTTTTAAATACACCTTTTGGGAAGCCTGTAATCTAGTAATTTTCTATAATGCTCTTTCAAACATGCTTAATTTCTGTTATCCCTCTCCCTACTCCAATCTGTGCTCCGTTCTTCCATCTACCTCCCCTACTTAAATATTTTCCCCACATTATTGTTCTTTTTTCCTTCATGTCACCTGTGTTCTACTATCCTCCCTACTAATCTCTTTCTTATCAACCAGATAGTCCCTTTGTACATTTTCCTGGATTCTACACAAATTTAAAGAGTTGATGATATCCACATATGAGTGAGAACATTTGACATTTGTCTTCCTAGAACTGGATTATCTCACTCAGTATTTTAAAGTTTTATCCACTTACCTGTAAATTTAATGATTTTATTTTTCTTTACAACTGAATAAAACGCCATTCTGTATAAATACCACCTTTTTATTACCTATTTGTCAGTTGGTGAATATCTATGCTTTTCCAATTCCCTTGCTATTGTGGATGGTACAGCAATGAACATGGATGAGCAGGTATCTCTGTAGTAGGATATATAGTATTTTGGACATAAGCTCAGGGGTTGTACAGCTTGATCATATGGCAGATCTATTTCTAGTATTTTGAGGAAACTCCACATTGATTTTCATAGTGTCTTCACCAGTTTGCACACTCCTCTTCAGTGAATAAAAGTTGCCCTTTCTCCCAAATCCTTGCCAAAGTTTGTTGTTACTTGTTTTCTAAATTTTTTTCATTCTTATTAGAAAAAGAAATTGTAGAGTGTTTTTAATTTGCATTTCTTGATAGCTAAGGATGTTGAACATTTTAAAAATATTTCTTCATCTTCCATGTTTATTCTTTTGAGAACTCTCAGTCCAGATCTATAGTCCAAGTTTTAACTGAGTTGTTTGTTAACTGAGTTCATGCTTTTTTTAATTTTTGCATATTATAGTTATTAATCTTCTATCAGATATTTAGCTGGCAAAGATTTTCTCCCACTCTGTAGGCTTCCTCTTCAATCAATTGACTGTTTTGCTGTACAAAACCATTTTTTTCACGAAGTCCCATTTGTCAATTATTGACATTAATTCCTGAGTGGAGTCCTATTCAGAAAGTCCTTATCTTTATCTATATGTTGTATCAATTTCCCTAA